CCTGGCCCCCTGTCCTATGCTTTAATGGGGAGCCCATGGGAACTGGAGTTCACAGCAAAACAGGAAGAGCCTGTGAGCAGGAAGCTGGGAGTGGGGCAGGGGGTGATCAGCCAGCAGTAACCTCAACTCCTCCCCTGCCACATCTGGACTGAAGCATCCCCAGAGCTCTCTGCCTCTTCTACTGCTGTCCTCCCCCCCTCCCCCCCAGCTTCTTCCATCTCGACATTTCACTGATCCAGCAGACCTGAAAGGCAACAAGACTCTCCTGGACTCTGAGGCAGGAGAAAGAAAGAGTACAGAGACTGGAGTGAGGACATCTGGGTTTTGAGCTCAGCTTGGCCACTGTGTGTGGTCTTCGAGACGCCTCTCCCGTGAGCTTAGTATTCTTTGTAAAGTGGAGCTTGTGTTATGTACCCTCCTTCCCGGGGCTGCTCTAAGGACCAAAAGAGCGAGTGCAGGGTTTGTGTATGGAAACAAGCACTGGAAGGTTAACGGTGTGCAGATGCACGGTGTTGGGAAGTCCCCATGGCTGAAAGATTGGAAATTTAATAACTGCTGCCATCTCTTGAACACACTATGGGCTACACATTGTGCTCTGACATATTGTTTAGTTCTCATGACAACCTTAGGTGGCAAAAACCATTATTATTATCCTGATTTTTAAGATAGGGAAATAGAGGGTCAGAGATATTAAGAAACTTGCTTAATCAAGATCACACAGCTAATAAAAGGCCATGCCAGAATTTGAACCCAAATTCTAAGTCTAAGGCCAAAAAACTAAATATGCTGAAATGAAATGGACTAGAGTTAACAAGTATAAAATAGAAGGGGGGTCATATATTTTTTTCTTGATTGCTTATTCATTTAATGAACAGGAATACAGTACCTACTCTGTTGCCTAAACTATGTCAGGCCCTGATCCAGGGCTACAAGGGAGATAAGATCAATTAAACATGGTGTCTACATTCAGGAATGGATCTCATATTCCAGGCAACAGGGCAGGAAGGCTTAATAGCGGCTGGGCAGAGCCTGTCAGCATTTCATATGGAACTGTTCCCCAGATGAGGGAACTTGCATACCTTCCCAGATCCATACTGGGCTAGCACCTGGGTCACCTGCCATCTCTCTACCCCCACCCTGGCACCGGCCATTGCTCCCCTCTCTCTCTTCTGGCCTCTCCCCTGCTGGTAGCCCTCACGGGGGGGCCCAATCAGAGATTTACAGGAAAGCCCAGCACCTGCCTCTCCACCCATGGAGTTCTACCAGCTTGGCTGAGGCTGGGCCGGTGGGGAGAGTTTCTTGGCCCCTTCCCAGAGGCAGGGGAGGAGGAGGGAGGCTGGGAAAGCAGGCTGGGGCTCCGTGTTGCAATTCCAGGCTGTGCTGGGACCTTTGCTCCACGAAATGTCTATGGAGGGGAGGGGACACCAACTCTGGAGGCTGCCGGGATTGGGGTGGGGGTGCCTGGGAGGCAGTCCTGTAAGCGCAGCCTGGGTGAGCAGAGGAAGGGGAGGACTGGGCTGGTCGGCAGGGAAATGCGACTGCTGTGGTTGGGGGTAGGAGAGCAGGGGTGGCGCTGGGCTGAGGGGGTGGCTAGCTGGGGAGGAGTCAGCGTGGTGGGGAAGCCGGGTGGGCGGGGGTGAGGAGGCCGAGGCTCCAGTCGGTCAGTTGGCTGGCGCCAGCTCTGACTCCGGGCTCTGCCTGGCTCGAAGGAGCAGTGGCCTGACCCCTTAGCAGTCCCTCCCCTCAGGTTTTCCCCATATTACTTCCCTGGGGCTCCGGGCCCCTGTCTAGCTCAGCTACGGCTTCAGCCACCGCGGAGGCCTCTGGACAGAGCTTGCACCGTCCTCCTCTCTCAGCAAGGGGGCTCCAGAGACTGCCCCAGCCAGGAAGTCTGACGGCCCAGGCATTCGGTGGGTCGGCTCCTCAGCACTTGCCTGGGGCCCTGTGTGTGTTTGGTGCGTGGGGGTGAGTGGGGGTCCTGTGGATCTTAGAAAGGGGTCTCTTTGGGGAAAAGTGAAGGATGATGATAGTGATGGAAGCTTGGGCAGGATCCCATTTAAGTCCCAGAATAACTCCTGAGGGGCTGTGAGGGAGGAGGTCCTGTATGTGAATTGGGGCGACTCTTGGAGGCAACAGGTTTGTGCTGGGATCCTGGGAAGCGGCAGGACTGAGGTTATTCAGCAAGCAGCATGTTTCACTGGGTGGAGCCCTCCATCCCATGTCCTGGCCCTGCCCAACTTTGGCTGCCCCAGTGCTGGAGTGAGGGGAAGGGGCTTTAATAGAACCAGAGCAGATGTGCCCAAATATTCCCTGATGGCCAGGAGGTGGGCCCTGGGGAGAAAAAGTGGCACGGTGGCTGAGAGCTCAGACTTTGGAGTCAGAGAGATCAGAGGTGGAGTCTTTGCTGCCTAACTGTGTGGCCAAAGGCAATTTACTTCATCTCTTTGAAACTTGGTTTTCTCATCTGTAAAATGGGCTAAAGAATAGTCCTGACCTCAGAGGGACACAGTGAGCAAGGCATGTCAAGCCTTAGCACAGGCTGATGCAGATGAAGTGAATGTTAGCTAATGTGCTGTACTGATAGAGAAGGAGCCCGGTTCTGGAAGAGTATAACCTGAGTTGTTCCTGCAGGACAGTCCCTTGGTAATGTCCAGGGCTCCAGAAAGAAAGAAATGTCCTTGTGGCTGGAGGCCCCCGTGCCTAATGTTTCTCCTGGTAAGCTGCTTCACTCCAGCCCTCTCCCCTCAGTCAGGGTCTCTTCACGACCTGCCTTCTGCCTTTCCCCCGAAAGCAGTCTGGAGTCATCCTTGCCTCCTTCTGCCCAGACTACCTTCATCCTGGTTCTGGTGCCTGGCCCTTGCAGGCACCTGCCGATCCTTCTGTCTGGACTTGCTGCTGGGGAGAGGGCATGTACAGTGCTCATCCAGTTTGACTTTTAATTAAGAGTTCTGTCTGATCTCTGAAATAGATGCATGCCGGCCCCCAAGGGGACAAGGGTTAACATCCTCATGTAAAGTATCGAGGTGCAGGGAATTGCAAGACTAGCCCTGGAGCCCACACCACCGCCAGGGTCTGAAGCCTGAGCTGATGTTTTGCTGCCCTCTAGGGGTGGAGAGAAGTTTGCAGTTTCCCAGCCAGGATGCAGTGGAAGTGGAGGGGGAGGACCTGAGACTTCCCCCCTCATCCTCCCCTTGTTCCTCTTTCCTGACTCAGACTCTGCAGTGGAGCTGTGGGAACCAGATGCACAAGATGCAAACAGCCGGGCGCTGAGAGGCAGCAACTGCATCCTCAGGGAGGAAGCCAGCATGCCCCAATCAGCGGGGGTCACTTCGGGGGCAGGGTTGGAGGTGGCAGATCCCACAGCCCTGCTCCCAGGTGTGGAAGTCCTTCCAGAGTCTACAGGTGAGGAGCTGCTGGATGTGGAGGATGTAGGGGCTCCCTGGATCTGGAAGGGGCATCTTGGGGCTCTGTACCATAAAAAATGTTTAAGTACCAAAGCTTTAAGTGTCGACTAGACCTGAGTGATCTGTGAGTTTGTCTCTACCTTAGGCCTTTCTGAGCCTCAGTTTCCTTATTCAGCAAATGGAAATAATAACAGTAGCTACCTCTTTTGGATGTCGTCAGGATCAATGCATATAAAGGGCTAAGACAGTACCTGGGGCATAATACATAGCATTTGGGACATGAGAGGTACTTTCTTATAATAGAGAGACTAGATAGACTGCATGTTAAAAGGGGCATGAAGGTCACTGAGTGCTCAGGGCAGTGGCCAGCTGGGCACCAAGCTTGTTTCTTAGAGAAGAACATTAAGGCACTTCCCTGTATCCAGAGCTCCGTCCACAAAAGCGGAAAAAGGGGCCAGCCCCCAAAATGCTGGGGAATGAGCTGTGCAGTGTGTGTGGGGACAAGGCCTCTGGCTTCCACTACAACGTGCTGAGCTGTGAGGGCTGCAAGGGATTCTTCCGCCGCAGTGTCATCAAAGGGGCGCGCTACCTCTGCCACAGCGGGGGCCACTGCCCCATGGACACCTATATGCGTCGCAAGTGCCAGGAGTGTCGCCTTCGCAAATGCCGCCAAGCTGGCATGCGGGAGGAGTGTGAGTACCTGGGGACAGGAATGGGGAAGGGGCCGATGGGAAAGAGGGGGCATGTGGGTGCCAGGGTGTGAGGGCAGACAGGCAGCTGAGCCTACAGGGCCTTCCTATATGGTCCCTAAATACGGATTAAAATTTCTTCCTTGCTTTTACCCTGTGATCTCTGCTTTTCTGGAGCCTTAAACTACCCCTCTGGCCCTTCCTTGCTTCTCATCTCCCCCTCCTCTTCCCTCCTCTCATCTGGCCGGTCCTTAGGTGTCCTGTCAGAAGAACAGATTCGACTGAAGAAACTGAAGCGGCAAGAGGAGGAACAGGCTCAGGCCACATCCGTGCCCCCAAGAGCATCCTCACCTCCCCAAGTCCTGCCCCAACTCAGCCCAGAGCAACTGGGTATGATTGAGAAGCTAGTGGCTGCCCAGCAACAGTGTAACAGACGCTCCTTTTCTGACCAGCTTCGCGTCACGGTACCTGAGGGACCTGGGGAGAGGTGGCTATACCCAGAGCGCCAGCTGGCTTCTCGATATCTGACTCAGAGCGGTTTGTTTTTCCCCTCCTTGCCCTTCTGGGTAGCCTTGGCCCATGGCACCAGATCCCCAGAGCTGGGAGGCCCGTCAGCAGCGCTTTGCCCACTTCACTGAGCTGGCCATCGTCTCTGTGCAGGAGATCGTTGATTTTGCCAAACAGCTGCCCGGCTTCTTGCAGCTCAGCCGGGAGGACCAGATCGCCCTGCTGAAGACCTCCACTATTGAGGTGGCTGGCAGGGCTGAGGGGTGCAGGGAGAGCCCGAGCGGGACTGTCCGTGGGAAGGGCCTCTAGACAGCCAGCTGGGAAGCCAGAGCCACCACTGGGAAGTAGGGACCTTCAATTGAAGGTGCCCCATTGCCAGGACCAGCCCGCCGAGTCCCTGTTTGAGGTCTGCTACTTGTGTGCAGGTGATGCTTCTGGAGACATCTCGGAGGTACAACCCTGAGAGTGAGAGTATCACCTTCCTCAAGGATTTCAGTTATAACCGGGAAGACTTTGCTAAAGCAGGTGAGACCTGAGATAACAAAGGGACTGGTTTGAATGGACAGACACTTTTTGTCCTGGAGCCCATAGTGACTCCAGAGTCACAGGCCCCACGTTTAGGTGTCTGTAAAGGGAAGGCTTCACCTGCTTTTCCAAGACAGAGAGTTGGAATGCTTATAGGTCTCTTTCAACTGTCTCAAATGGACTCCTGTCCTCTGTTGCCTTAGGCCAGCGTTTCTCGAACTGTGTTCCCAGGAACCCGAGGGAGGGATTCCACAGAACTGTCGCTTTAGAGAAGAAACAAGAAGGCGCGGGAATGTCCTTCATTCTTACTTTAAATGGAGCCAAACAAGACGCTCCATGTAAATCTGCATTATATATCACGCTTCTACATAATGCGCTTCAAGGAAAGGTTTCATAACGAGGGAAAGGCTTGAAAACAACCATACCGAGCCCTTTAGTAGTCAATAATGAGCAAGTCTTTCTCAGATGTGTTCTTTCAGGATCACGTGGACCTGCTTCCCCCTACTCTTCTTCACTTGTTCTTTTTTTTTTTTTTTAATTAATTTTTTACCGAGAGGAAGGGAGAGAGATAGACAGTTAGAAACATCGATGAGAGAGAAACATCGATCAGCTGCCTCCTGCACATCTCCCACTGGGGATGTGCCTGCAACCCAGGTACATGCCCTTGACCGGAATCGAACCCGGGACCCCTCAGTCCGCAAGCCAACGCTCTATCCACTGAGCCAAACCGGTTTCGGCTCACTTGTTCTTTCTGAAGAGCCATGAAACTGGAGCTGATACATAGCAAACATGTCCAAACGATGCAGCTTTAAGATCAGAGTGGATGCTTCTGTCCCCATCCTGTGCTTGAAGTGTTTTCTCTAAGAATCTGTTCCCATTGCTGCTCTCTATCTGATGCTTGCAGGCTAAGCAGTGTTGGTTTCCTCATACTCAATTGCTGGTATCGTGTTATGGGAGCAGAGTTAGCAAAGGATGAAAGGCTAAGGGTGTTTTGGAGGGACGGGAGCTGAGGCTCAATAGGTGACCTAGTAGTCTAACAGTGGAGTGAGTGAGTTTAAAATATGGCTGATGCTGTCCGGTACTCAGCTCATGTGCCTCTTCTCCCATCCCAGGCTACCCAGTGACATGCCTAGGAAGGCCTCTCTTAACTATAGGGCACGGCAGGGCTGTGTTAGCACCTTTTGCCTACTGTGTGCTGCCAGAACGTCTGGGAAATTTCATGACTTTTCCATCTTTAAAACCCAGCCCTACCCCCTTTCTCTAGCCAACCACCTTTCCTCAGTTATTTTCCGAGTCCTTCTTAACCATGGCCTTCTCCTCCGTAGCATCCTCCTTTCTGAACCCTTTCCAGTTCTTATGTGTGTGTTTCTTCAGTACTTTCAGGCTTATGTCATCTGAATCTGTACCTATTTATAGATTCATTTATATAAGCAGTGTTGATATTATCTTTGCCTTTTGTTTGTCATTTTGTCAGTGAGGTCTCAGGGAGAGGGAACAGGGTCTCCTTCCCTCTCTACATGACTGATGATGTGGACTGATGCCATTGGGGGCATTCATTCAACAAGCAGTAGCAGACAGACCCTTCCAGGGTGCATAACCCAACTCTAAAACCTACTTGCCCTCTCTGTACAAACAGACTGTTTAGCACAATTCAAGGCTCACTCAATACCTCAGCAACAAATACTTTATAAAATGGGGCTTGTCCATTAAATGTATCAACACACATTGATAAACATCAGGGTGAAAATACAGGAAGTGACTAATCAAGAAACCTCGAATGGAAAAGTTAGCAGATGGTTGCTAAAAGAAATCTGAGAAAGCCTGGAGGAGGGTGTGGGGTGGGAGACTTTGACAGTGTGTATGAGAGAAGTGTTTTTTAGATGTCATGACTTTAGGTCATGGTTTATTGAACTTCAGTCTCATCAAGGAGATTGGTTCTATATTTATAAATCTACTATTTATATATATAGTAGTTACCATATGTGCCACACATTATTCTAAGGACCGATTATGGTAGGTGCTATTATCTCCATTTTACAGATGGGAAAACCAAGGCTCAACCTAGTAAATGGTAGAGCCAGGACTCAAACCCAGGCAGTCTGGCACCACAGTCTGTACCCTCAACCACATTGCTAAGTTCCCCCAAGATATGAAACATGAAATGTATCTCTAGTATTCAAATAAGTAAGGCCAATTGCCAGTGAGGTTTCTTTATAAACAGAAATGAGTTGCTTCTATATCTAGTAATGGGGCCCTCAATAATTTTAATAAGAATAACAGAATTATAATCATCATTCAATTCACACATCCTATGTTCCAGGCACAGCGTTAAGTGCTGTGCATGCTTTATCATTTAACCATCACAGTAGTCTTACAAATTCAGATATGATTCCCATCTCACAGATGAGGCTTAGAGAGGTGAATAAACTTGCCCAAGGTTACAGAGCAGAGCCCTGGATACTTCTTATTGCGTTCCTAGAAGTTCTCTAAGTTGCGGAGTTGGAGGAGAGAAGGAAGTTCCTGCCACTCATGCCACACACTCAGCCTCCCTCCTTCTTCCCCAGGACTGCAAGTGGAGTTCATCAACCCCATCTTCGAGTTTTCCAGAGCCATGAATGAGTTGCAGCTCAATGATGCCGAGTTTGCCTTGCTCATTGCCATCAGCATCTTTTCTGCAGGTGTGGAGGATGGGCAAGAGGGAAAATGAGCAAGAGACTTGAAAATGAGCAAGCCCTAGGAGGGCTGCAGGCCCCATAGGGCAGGCATTGTAAGGGTGGAGGCCCTTGCTGTTACTTTGGGATGGGAGAGGTTGGGTGGGACATGTTCCTATTTTTGGTTGTGATGTGGGGTATAGAACTGACCCTGGCCAGACTTGCTCCTCAACTCTGTTTGTGAATATAGACCGGCCCAACGTGCAGGATCAGCTCCAGGTAGAGAGGCTGCAACACACATATGTGGAGGCCCTGCATGCCTATGTCTCCATCCACCACCCCCATGTGAGTCTTCCCTAGGTGCCCTTTCTCCTCAACACAGGCTCATTCCCTGACACACCTACTTTCCCTTCAAGAATCCCTCTCTGATTATACCTCTCCCACAGTTCCTCTACCCTTGCCCTCTTCCCTGGGGAGAGACAAATTCTGAACTTGTCCTTCTCCTTCCCCAGGACCCACTAATGTTCCCACGGATGCTAATGAAGCTGGTGAGCCTCCGGACACTGAGCAGCGTCCACTCAGAGCAAGTGTTTGCGCTGCGCCTGCAGGACAAAAAGCTTCCCCCGCTGCTCTCTGAGATCTGGGATGTGCACGAATGACTGTCCTCGGCTGGCTGAGGCCTGGCTGGCTGAGGTCCCGCTGGCGGCCTCCTTAGAGGTAGAACAGACTGAGAAGGGCAAACATTCCGGGGCGCTGTGCAAAAGAGATCCTCACGTGGCATTAAAGGAGAGTAACGGGTTCGGAGTTTTGTGACTGCTGGGCACTGAGGGTCCTGCCAAAGCTGTGCTCCATTTGAACACTGTACTGACCTGATCAAAAGGATGAACCTGGGGGCCACTTTGCACAAGGTTCTCCAGGCCCTGCCTCCACCACTTCCTGTTTTCCCCACAGGGCCCCTAGAGAAATTCTCACTGTCATGCTGCGGCTTAACCATAAATGCCTCCGGGCTGCCTCCCTGATAGTCGGCCTGGTACTGTTTGTACAAGAAGACAAAAATGAATACGGAATGAGAGAAACAATTTCTGGATTGGGGTGGAGGAGCGGCAACAGAGGAGGGAAGCCTGCAGCGTCTTTTAGGATCGCCTCCAGAATTAGAGGGAGACAAGTCCCCAGTGCCAGCCTCCTTTCACTAGCCCCATTGCGCCCCGAGGGTAAATGAAACGCTGAGACCACTTCCCCTGTCAGGATGGGAGCGGGGAGGGGATCCTGCCTTCTGTAGGGGAGGGGGTGTTGGACTTTCAGAACTAGCGCCTCAGCTAGGCACCTGTGTTCTGTGGGCGCGGGCACATCAATCCCCCTCCTCTAGGCCCCCACATTACGGGCCAGGAAGAAAAGTCCCCTGAGGCGGGGAG